GGAATAATTTATTTGTAAGGTGTAGAATAGTTCTTGAGTAGTATAAATACCCCTCCCCATTTTTGTTTAAGCATCAAGAAAAATTAAGAGCTTCTAAGTGAGTGAAGAAGCAAAGTCTTATAAGAGTGAGTTGTAGTTCTTGTTTTTGAGTGAGAGTGCTCTTGTAATATTTGTTTGAGTTTCAATAAAAGTTGTTTGTGTGAGTGTTTTATTTCCAATAAAGTGGTATCAGAGCGAGTTGGAAAGATCGAAGGTCTCGACGAGAGGAATCCGACGCCGTCAGAATTTTCTCAATCTGAGTGACGCACCGCCACGCACTGCCGGAAGACTACTGTCAGAAAATCAAGTCATTATATTGAGAGATATGGCAAATGGTATGGCACCATTCCAAGTTCCGACACTTAACAACAACAACTACGACAATTGGAGTATCAAAATGAAGGCACTTCTTGGATCACAAGATGTGTGGGATATCATAGAGAAAGGCTATAACGAGATTATGGATGATGATGTTTTTGTTACTCTTACACCAGATCAAAAGACAACTTTGAAGGATTCAAGAAAGAGAGACAAGAAGGCTCTCTACCTCATCTACCAAGCATTAGATGATGATGGTTTTGAAAAGATTTCAAGTGCAAGCTCTAGCAAGGAAGCATGGGAGAAGCTGCAAACCTCTTACAAAAGATCCGAGCAAGTGAAGAAGGTTCGTCTCCAAACATTAAGAGGTGAATTCGAATCCTTACACATGAAAGCATCTGAGTCTATTTCAGATTATTTCTCAAGAGTAGTAGCTGTTTCTAATCAATTAAAAAGAAATGGTGAAAAGTTAGAAGATGTGAGGATAATAGAGAAGATACTTCGTTCGTTGGATCCCAAATTTGAGCACATCGTCGTGACGATTGAAGAAACTAAAGACTTGGAAGAAATGACGATCGAGCAACTCCAAGGATCATTGCAAGCATACGAAGAGAAGCATAAGAAGAAGCATGAGTTTACTGATCAACTCCTCAAGCTGCAACTCAAGGATATGCATGAAAGCCAACGCAATGATAGAAACCAACGTGGCCAAGGAAGAGGTAGAGGCCATGGACGAGGTGGAAGTCGAGGTCGTGGACGAGGCTGGAATTACAACAACAACAACAATTCCAACAACAACTATGAGAAAGGAGAAAGCTCAACACGAGGTCGTGGAAGAATTAATCCAAACTCAAAGTATGACAAATCTCAAATTCGATGTTATAATTGTCAAAAATTTGGGCATTATGCTTCAGAATGTAGAGCTCCCAACAACAAAATTGAGGAGAAGGCCAATTACGTGGAGGAAAAGACAGATGACAAAGAAACTCTTCTTCTAGCACGAAAGGAAACTGATGGTGGCCAAGCAAATTCCTGGTATCTTGACAGTGGTGCAAGCAATCACATGTGTGGAAGGAAAGACATGTTCGTGGAGCTAGACGAGTCAATAAGCGGAAATGTTTCGTTTGGAGATGATTCCACAATAGCAGTGAAAGGGAGAGGTAATATTCTTATTCGTTTGAAAGATGGGAGACATCAATTTATTTCAAATGTCTACTATGTGCCCAATATGAAAAGTAATATCTTAAGTTTAGGGCAACTGGTAGAGAAAGGTTATGATATTCATATGAATAATTATAACCTTTCTATAAAAGATGATAAGAATAACTTCATTGCTAAAGTGCCGATGTCAAAGAATAGAATGTTCTTGATCAACATTCAAAATGATGTTGCAAAGTGCCTGAAAGCTTGCTACAAAGATTCATCATGGCTTTGGCATCTTCGATTCGGGCATCTCAATTTTGGAGGTCTAGAGCTACTATCTAAGAAGGAGATGGTGAAGGGACTACCTTGCATCAACCATCCTGACCAACTTTGTGAAGGGTGTCTAGTCGGGAAACAATTCAGGAAAAGTTTTCCAAAGGAGTCGGAAACAAGAGCCAAGAAGCCACTCGAGCTCATCCATACCGATGTGTGTGGACCGATCAAGCCAAGCTCTCTTGGTAACAGTAACTATTTTCTTCTCTTCATTGATGATTTTTCAAGAAAAACCTGGGTATATTTCTTGAAACAGAAGTCAGAAGTTTTTGAAGTCTTCAAGAAGTTCAAAGCAGCAGTGGAGAGAGAAAGCGGTAGAAAGATCAAAGCCATGAGATCCGACCGAGGTGGAGAATTTACTTCCAGTGAGTTTCAAGAGTTCTGTGAAGCAAATGGAATTCGTCGACCAATGACAGTTCCTAGATCCCCCCAGCAAAATGGTGTGGCAGAAAGAAAGAACAGAACAATCCTCGACATGGCACGAAGCATGCTCAAAAGCAAGAAACTACCCAAGGAATTTTGGGCGGAAGCAGTAGCGTGTGCAGTCTACTTGTCAAACCGATCTCCAACAAGAAGTGTATGGGGAAAGACACCACAAGAGGCATGGAGTGGAAGAAAGCCTTGCATTTCTCACTTGAGAATCTTTGGAAGTATAGCCCATGTTCACGTACCGGACGAGAGAAGAACGAAGCTTGATGATAAAAGCGAGAGTTTTATCTTCATCGGCTATGATGCTAATTCAAAAGGCTACAAGCTGTACAATCCAGACAAAAAAGAAGATTGTGATTAGTCGAGATGTGATCTTCAACGAAGAAGGAGAATGGGATTTTAACTCTCATACAGACGACTTCAATTTCTTTCCTCAGTTTGAAGAAGATGAGCAGACAATGAGGGAACAACTAGGTGAACCTCAACAAGAGCTTGAAACTCCACCCACTTCACCAACATCAACCACTCAAGGAGACTCATCACCTTCGTCATTGTCAAGTGGGAGTCAAAGTGAAAGAGTTGTGCAACGTACAAGAAACCTTAGAGATCTCTATGAGGTAACTGAACGACAAGATAATCTTACATTATTTTGTCTGTTTGCCGATTGTGAACCAGTGATCTTTCAAGAAGCAATACAATAAAAGAAGTGGAGAGATGCGATGGACGAAGAAATCAAGGCCATCAAGAAGAATGACACATGGGAACTTATCTCACTTCCCAAGGGACATAAGGCGATAGGTGTCAAATGGGTGTACAAAATAAAGCAAAATGCCAAAGGAGAGATTGAAAGGCACAAGGCGAGGCTAGTTGCTAAAGGCTATAGTCAAAAGCCTGGAATTGACTATGATGAGGTATTTGCTCCTGTTGCTCGATTGGAGACTATTAGATTAATCATTTCTTTGGCAGCTCAAAACAAGTGGAAGATACAACAGATGGATGTAAAGTCTGCCTTCTTAAATGGAGTTCTTGAAGAGGAAGTCTACATTCAACAACCATCAGGCTACGAAGTCAAAGGGCACGAAGACAAGGTGTTGAAATTGAAGAAGGCTCTTTACGGGCTAAAACAAGCACCAAGGGCATGGAATAGCCGAATCGACAAGTACTTCCAAGAAAATGGCTTCAACAAATGTCCCTACGAGCACGCTCTATATATCAAGATCAAAGATGAAGATATTCTGATCGTGTGCATCTACGTGGACGATTTGATCTTCACCGGAAGCAACCCAAGCATGTTTAATGAATTCAAGGATGTGATGATAAAGGAATTCGAGATGACAGACATGGGGCTCATGGCGTACTACCTTGGCATTGAAGTTAAGCAACAAAAGGATGGAATTTTCATTTTATAAGAAAGCTATGCAAAGGAGATCCTAAAGAAGTTCAAGATGGAGAACTGTAAGCAAATAAGCACACCGACAGAATATGGGATCAAGATGTCCAAACATGAAGAAGGAGAAAGTGTAGATCCAACGTTCTTCAAAAGTTTGGTGGGAAGTCTACGTTATCTAACTTGCACGAGGCCTGATATTCTTCACGCAGTTGGATTGGTTAGTCGCTACATGGAATCTCCAACAACCACCCATTTTAAAGCTGCAAAGAGAATTCTTCGCTATCTGAAAGGTACAATTGACTTTGGCTTGTTCTATTCAGTTTCTAATGATTACAAGCTTGTTGGATATAGCGATAGTGATTGGGGTGGAGACATAGATAATCGAAGGAGCACTACTGGATTTGTATTTTTCATGGGAGATACTGCTTTCACATGGATGTCAAAGAAACAACCGATTGTCACATTGTCTACTTATGAAGCGGAATATGTTGCTGCTACCTCATGCGTTTGTCATGCAATTTGGCTTAGAAATCTATTGAAAGATATAGGTTTGATACAAGAAGAGCCTACCAAGGTTTGTGTCGACAACAAGTCAGCCATTGCCTTAGCAAGGAATCCAGTATTCCATGATCAAAGCAAGCACATCGACATTCGCTACCACTATATAAGGGAGTGTGTTGCAAGAAAGGATGTGGAAGTTGAATACGTGAAGTCACAAGATCAAGTTGCCGATATTTTTACCAAGCCACTGACAAGCGAATACTTCATAAGATTGAGGAACTTACTAGGGGTCACAAGATCAAGTTTAAGGGGGGGTGTTGGATCATAAACTTGATCCATTATGAGAACCCAAACCCAAACCCAAACCCACACCTAAACTAAATTGATGTAAGCAATGACATCTTCCCCTAATTGATGTAAGCAATGACATCAATTTAGTTAGGTGAAAGTTAGGTATGTCTTATTTTCAAATGGTTTGAATTAGTTTATTTGTGTGGTGTATGATTGTTTGGAATAATTTATTTGTAAGGTGTAGGATAGTTCTTGAGTAGTATAAATACCCCTCCCCATTTTTGTTTAAGCATCAAGAAAAATTAAGAGCTTCTAAGTGAGTGAAGAAGCAAAGTCTTATAAGAGTGAGTTGTAGTTCTTGTTTTTGAGTGAGAGTGCTCTTGTAATATTTGTTTGAGTTTCAATAAAAGTTGTTTGTGTGAGTGTTTTATTTCCAACACTATCATCTTCTTGTGAAATTACAAATAAAGATCTAAAAAGCCATATTGATATATTATTCTGAGTTGCAAGAAACAAGTATTTATACTTGATGGAGACTTGTTGATATACTCTTACAAGTATTAGCAACGATTTGCAAACAACATTGTTGTAGACATTACCAAACTTACCTAAACTCAATACTGACAACAAACAGACATGGAATTGCTCACAACTTATGCTGCAAATTCATCAATGGAGCTTCTTCTTCTCATGGTTTTCTCTCATTTCCAGGGGGAGTTCTATAATATGCTGGCACAGTTAGAGGAAAGAACATTTGTCTCACCCCTTCAGACTGTATAAAGGGAAGAACGATGCTTAATCCAACCTGGAAAAAAAAACAGAAAAGATCATGGTAAATTCATGTAATTATATCATGTTCATGTTGCAGAAGAATTGTTCGGTAAAGATAATAACCCAGAGGAGTTTAGCTCCATTCCACAAACGTTTGGGAGAAGGAAATGGAAGTAACATCAGGCCAACAGCATAGATTGAAATAGCCAAGAAATGAAATGCCAAGTTTAATGGACGAGGGGATAAACCAGAATAAAGAGCCGATAGTCCGCATGCAAACACGCCTCCGAGTTTCATATAATTGAAACATGCCTGCTGGATGTCTTCCATTGCAGGATCAGACGAGGCACTCAGCACCTTGTGCAGGACATTGGCCAATGTATTGATGGTAGACGACATCGGCTGCAAATGCGGTTAAAGTTCGAAATTATAGGGGTTTGTTCGATGTTGTTGACTTTCGAAATGTACATCAAACATGGGATTACAGTACCTTCCTTAGAGTATAAAAGGACTCGAGATATTTGCTGACGGTGGACGGATCGGATAGATCTTGCAGAGGTCTTAGAAGATCCCTGAGTAAAACAACATCAGATAGTGCAACGGTCATTCCCCCTCCGGTTAAAGCGTGGCGCATATTGAATGCATCGCCGATCAAAAGTGCACCGGGAGTCAAGTATGGAGCAGCAGCCATGATTTTATTGGGCATTATTCTTATGTTACCCTTCTTCTCTATTGCAGATATGAAGGCAGTGTACAGTTGAGGAGGAACCTGAAATGTTCAAGTCATGTTGATAGTCCATTGTGTTCACAAAATGAATCGATAAAAGAAAAATCCGACTACCTTGGGAGCCACTTGAGTTTTCAAGTAATCGGCCATTTTGCCATCGGAAACTGAAGGTAAATTCCGACTAGGAACATCAACCAAGCAACGAATTTCAGTGCAGCTGATCGGATAAAACACGAAAGGTGAAGGAGGTGCTATTACAAGAGCTCCATAATTTTCACATGGAAGTTTACAGTTTGTAAGAACAAAACCAGCACTGTAAGAGGGGACATCAATCTGCAGAAAACAATCAACATCTTTAAATTTTCTCAAAGCATAGAATTCAACAAGATTCCCTAAGCATTTTCACCTTAGGATTGCATAGAGAGCGTCTCAAATTTGAGAAACAACCGTCGCAGACGACTGTGAGAGGAGCATAAGCCGTCAGCACTTGACCACCCTTATCTTTGTAGTGCACTCCTTTGACAATCCCATTTTCTTCAAACAGAGATGTCACTGTCCCTTGTTCTAGACTTACACTACATGATCATATCATCAAGACATGGACTTTGAACATGTCTAGGAAAGTATGGTTTTGTGAAATTTCAGATGAACGAAATCAATGGATTGAAATTTACTTGTGAAGAGATGCAGCTTTCTCCCGCAACCTTTGAACAAAACGACCGTTATGGAAGCTTCTTCCGGCAACATTGGACTGAAACCTTTCCAGAGGAAAAGATACGGTGGCATCCTTTCCGTGCATGTAGAGAACATAACCGAGAATTCGTTGAGCATCGATCTCATCAACACATTCTGCAGTGCCAACATTCAATGTCATGGCCTAATTCCAGCAACATAGTAACATTAGAATGCTGTATAAGCTATTTAAATCTGGGATTGTTCTTGTTTACCCTCTAGGCCTAACTCAATCAACTTGAGGTAGCCCCCTGGCATCAGATTTTCACCGGCAATACTGAGAGGCTCGGTTAAGTCCCTCTCTATCACACGCACTCGACGTCCGTCCTGTAACTTATAAATCGATGATGGACTGATTGGAAATTATACTTAACATGTAAAATTACATAGAACCATGCATGAAGAAATTGAGATGATGAAACCATGCAGGAAAAGAGAGAGAATACTGGGACCTTTCCAAGAGAATAGGCAAGAGCAGCACCGGCAACACCGGCACCGACTACGATAACATCCGTCGTCCCAACAGCCTCCGAATTTCTAGCTTTCTTTACACAGTTCTCGTTTCGAAACTCCATAGAAGCTGTTGTATTCATCGTGCTCAGTCCCCTAAATCTCACTAGAGAATTGTAGTACCAGAAAACAAACCCCAAGAGAGAAGCTACAGCACCTGCACCTGCAACTCCAACTATGTAATAATCAGCCATTTTAAGAACAAAATATGGAATGAATGATCAAGGAAAATAGGAGACTAATGCAGTCTGCGACTGGTGAAGCAATAATTTATAACTATTCTTCGTTCATGGCTACTCCATGGACGGTAATAGGGACGGATGTAAAATTTTATGTTAAGAGATGCATTCATAAAATTTTAAAAGCCAAAAACAAATTATTAATATAAAATATATAAAAAATTCTAAAATACATGATAATTTAAAATTTTTCAAGACTAGTAATTACCCCGATTACCTCCTTTGGGTTCATCCCTCGTTGGTATTAAATATTAATGGTGTGTTTTAAGTTTAGTTTGATGAGTTCAACACTAATTAAGCCAAACTTTAAAGAAGATGGATTATCTTAAATTTAAAACAGAAGTCATACTCTTAAATATGATAATAATATTATATTATACTAGAAAATAAATAAATATATATTCTCATCTCGAACACTACGAGCGATATTTACCACTTAATCGTGTAATAATAAGATTCAACTGTGTACTTAATGATGTTATCCTATAAACTATATTTTAAGAATTAAAGAATATAATTATAATTAGTTATCGGAACGCATTATTATTGTGTAATTACAAACAATAAATAGCATGCAAAAATTAAGGTAGTTCACCTAGCTAAGTTAAGCAGTGACACTACTTCTTTTTAGCCACCTGGAATAGCATAAGTCTAGAGTATTGGATACATCTAGCTGAAGTTTGGCGATACAAATATAAATAAATCCCGGCCTTGCATACCAGATTCTTTAATAAAATATCAGAATTATAGGTAAGAGTTTAGTTAGAATTGCTTGACGAAGGATTATAGTTTTGGAGTAGGTTGATTAAACTCTAAATTGCATTTAACGATAAATCTTCTTGTAATCTTGTTCTGATGCAGTGAAACTTCTTCTCCTCCATCTGTGACATTTTGCAAAAAGATTTTTCACGTAAATATCGGTATCTAATTTTTCGTTTCTTTTACTTCGCGATCATATTTATTTGTCGTCATCGGGTTTTCCATTTTAAAATTGTAAAATGATCAAATTGATACTTTAATTATAATTTAAAGGTCAAATCAAATATTACCTCATTCGTTAATGTGACATGTCATTAATTTAACAAAAGTTAACATTAAAGTTGTTACCGGAGTTTTGTGTGACAAGAATGTGACTCTAAAATTTAAGGGAAAATTTTATAGAATGTAAATAAGACCAGCGTTGCTGTATGGATCAGAATGTTGGGCAATCAAGAAGGATCACGTAAGGAGGATGGAGGCCGCAGAAATGAGAATGCTTCGATGGGCATGTGGTAGGACTCTATGGGACATGACACCAAACTCTGCTATTAGGATGTCCTTGGGGGTGATGCCTATACCCGAAAAATTGAGGGAGGGAAGACTACGGTGGTTTGGGCATGTCCTTAAGCGACAACCATCGGATGCGGTCAGGAGGGTGGAGTCGATTACAGTCGACGGTGCCAGAAGGAGAGGACGACCAAGGCGGAAGTGGGAAGACTGCTTGAGATTTGATTTAAAGGATTTAGCCCTTACTGAGGACATGACCTCTGATAGGAAAGTATGGAGACTTAAGATCAGGGTAACCGAGTAGTACAGATCACATCCATAGGGTATATCATCTCTGTCTTCTTTTTATGCATTTGTAGTAATTTCCATGACTTATTCTTTATATACGTTTCTGTCATTGGAATTTATGAAGGCTTAGAACTAGGGTAGCGGAGTAGTGTTGTTTTAGTTTAGGTTTTAACACATTTGACTTTATTCCTTCTCGTTGCTTGCTATCGTTGAATTTTGTATATCCTTCACTTCAAGTTTTACCCTTTTTAAATATTAGTCGGGTCTTACATTTCTGTCTATATGCAGAGATTTTTATGCAGGGATTTATTTGCAGGGATTACGTCACATTTCAGACGCACATATGTAGACTGCATATGAAGACTGTTCAAATATTTATTTATTTATTTATTTATACATGCATGTTATTTCTATCTTTACTTTTAATTTTTCTAACTGTCGGAGGTCTTCCACGGAAGTTGCTCTCAACCTGGTATTGGAGGCATCCTACTACCCTACCTCCCCCTTACCCTATTGCATATGGGAATATGGTTTTGTTGTTGTTGTTGTTGTTGTTGTAACATCAAAGTTGTGAGGTTTACTTTATGATAAATCGATTAATATTAGTGACTATAATGTAAAATTTTAAATATTAATGATTTCATTGGATGTAATTTACCCTATTAATCCATTGATGTTTTAGATTATTTAAGCTATCAAAAAAAAAAAAAAATTTCTTTTCAACATGCTAAGGGGTCGGCATTATATTTAGTTTAGGTTGAATTATAAATACCTAATTTGTATTATTCTCAAGATTTTTTTATAATAAAAATATATTTAAAAAATATAAATAGATAATAAGGTAAATTACATAATTTATCACTAAACTTTGTTCTCTTTATTATTTCACTCATTGTATTTTTAATATTTTTAATTTACTTACTGAATTTTGATATTGCTTATATTTTCATCACTCTAATTTATTTTGTTATTTTTTCATGTCACGTGATATTTTTATTTTTATTATTATATTAATAAAAGTAGATTAAAATAAAGAAATCACATTAAATTAAATGAAAATCTAAAATCATATCTAAACCTAAAAATTATATCAAAAACCTACACTACAAACTCTCACCCCCACTTTCAATAGCCTCAACCTGACCAATTTGTCCCTTCCTTTTCAGCTAAGGCCCGTCCACTGGCACAACACCTTCCATTTTGTTCCCCCCTGCCGCCGCTGTACTAGTGGAACGAGAAATAAGATGTGAAGGAAACCTTGCCATCATCTTAACTGTCGCTGCTGAAGGAGGTGATGGAGATGAAGACAAATACCATGAAGGAACCTGTCTTACCTCTGGGTTTTCTTTTAACAATGGAGCCATTGTCTTTAATAGCAAACCCTTTAATTATAGTTGTATTTGGGTTTTCTTCATGATCGGTTCTTGATTCAATGAGCTTTGAAGGAGTTTGAGGACGAGAAAATGTAGATGCCACCATCATCTGAGACTGTAAAAGGATTCAACTTTCTATTCTATATTTCTCGAAAGAAAATTTCAGTAAATTACTAATCATGGGTCTTCGTTTTCTTGGTCGATAACTTAAAACAAACAAGATTTTAGGTAATTTGTACATTTAACTTAAAAGCAGCGAAAGAAACCCAGGTTTTCTGAGTTTTCAAAGCTACTAAAGAAAATAGTAGGTAAGGTGAGAGATTTGGGCAAAGAAAAATGTAGTACTGGTGGATGAATGATGGCCAGAAAGGAAGGTGTGGTGCCGTTGGACGGGGATGGCCGAAAAGGAAGGGACATTTTGGTGAGGTTGAGACTGTCGAAGGTGGGGTGAGGGTTTGTAATTTAAGGTTTGAATATATTTTTTTTAAGAGAAAATAACTTCAGTGATCGAAAATGCCTTATAATATACGATTTTAACAAATTTTTTTTAGATTTGCCAAAATGACCAACAAATTCGCAACGCGACTTCCAATTTCACAACCCAGTTTCTAAATTCGCAACGCGATAGTCAAATTCGCAACACGATAGTCAAATTCGCAATACAAAAGTCAAATTCGCAACGCGATAGTCAAATTCGCAACACTGAATTTCAAATTCGCAACGCGATAGTTAAATTTGCAACGCGAAAGTCAAATTTGCAACGCGAAAGTCAAATTCGCAACGCGAAACACAATATTAATTTCGTAACACAAATGTAAACAATATTATCGCAAATCATAACCTAAAACCCTAAATTACAACTCAATCCCATCTCCATCTCCATCTCTCTACGGCGACATCCGTCCCCATCTCCGACGAAATCCGTCTATCTCTATCTCTCAGAGCAACCCTCACAACCATTCACGATCAGAAATAGAAAATCAACCACCGATGGTTAGTTTTTTAATCTCTTATTTTTATTTTGAAATTTTTGTATTATTATTAGATTTTTCTTATATTGATGATAAATTTACTGGTAATTTCAATATATATAAAGATTAACCATTTCACTGAGATTGCTTAGTAAATTCATTCGGTTGCTGCCAATACTGCTAAACTGCTTAGTCTTTAACCCTGTGAAGTTAGTATTTGTCTTTGTTTTGTCTTTTTGTTGAAGAAATGCAATTCATTCAAGTTTCAATTTGCAGAAGAATAGTTTTTGAAACTTAAATTTGCAACACGAAAATGAAAATCGCAACACCAAAATCGCAACGCGATTTTAGTTTCGCGTTGCGATTTTCTCGTTGTGATTCGAATTTAAGTTTCAGAAACTACTCTTATTCTGCAATTGAATGAATTGCATTACTTCAACAAAAAGACAAAACAAAGACAAATACTAACTTCACAGTGTTGCTAATTTAAGTTTCAAGAATAAACTACTACTCTTTATGTTGTCCTTGAACCTGCACTAAACCTATATGTTGTCCTTTTAAATGTTTATATAAGTGCTTACTTCTGGAATGTTTTTTGATGCATTTTGTGAACTATGATGGAATAATGACTTGGGTGAATACCGTGCTAGTTTGAAACATATTTGGCTTTGTTTTCACTGTTTAATATCATGTCTGTTTATGGTGTATAATTTGTAGTTTTTGGTATATCTAACTTGGTATGTTTATTGTTTTTGTAGAATTTTTTTTGGGCTGCATTGACCTTAAGGAATAAATTAAGCCTAGCCACTAAAATTGCATCGATGCTTACACCTCTACAAAGAAATTTGTTTGAGGATACCTGCTTCGGGCCATGGCTGAAAGTACAACATACGGGTGGAGATGCTATGTTGACACATTTGTTTCTTCAGACCATGACTAACGATCTACCCGAGAGGATACAACGTGGTGATGAAAAGATATGGTTTCATTTTCCTCCGGCACCGGGGTATATTTGTTTTGGGCGGGAGAAGTTTTGCTTAATCACTGGTCTACGCTT